AATAACAACTTTGTTTTAATATTAAAATAGTAAAAAAAATTAAATTATTCAAAAAACAGTTGAATAATATTTGTCCAATCATAAAAAACTTGTACAGTCACAAAACGGTACTTAAATGTTTTTAATTATTGTTCATTTTAAAACGTTAAACAAATTTAATAATTATACACCAATAAGAATCAAATCAAAATAATAAAAATAATCAATTTTTAATTTAAAGTGACTTCCCAAGGTGTGCAAGTTAGTTTAAAGGTGTGCAAGTTAAGGTATAGTTCATTTATAATTTTTTTATTAAAAAAATAGAATCATTAATTTTTTGAAATTTTGAAAAAAAAAGATTATTTTTAGTTTAATTATTAATTATAATTTCGAAGTTATTACTAAATTATACTTTAACTTGCACACCTTGTGACGTTGCAATTTTTAACTTTCACACTTCGAATACAATAAATTAAGCAACAATTTCGGGAAAGCGACCCAATGGAAATTATCGAAGGACCAGTTCTGGACAACAGTGCACATCGATTTGTAACAATGAACTGCACCTATTAAACAGACTATTTGTTATTGTTTGCTATAAAACGGCACAGAGAAAAACATAATGTTTATCATGCCTTTTCTTGTCACTTTTAATCACGATAACACAAGAGACGTCGATATTTATTCACGTCTTGAAACAAAACAGTTTTTACATTAAACACATAGACAAACCATTACCCAATTTTTATTATTTAATTTGCTTTTTGTAGTTTATTAATTAAAGGGTTTTGTGTTTTTTGAAACAATTTGGAAACGAATAACATTTTTTAATAAAATGTTTTTCAACTAAAATTTAGTCTTGCACGCCCTTTCCCTGTAAAAAAGACTAAAAATTTTAACTTGCACACCTTGGGGAAGTCACTTTACACATAACTTTTTCAAGCATCTATTTTTCTTGGCTATTATATTATGTTAATACAAATAAATACTCTGTTTGTTTTTATATAATAATATTATATAATCATTTCAAACAAATTGTTAATTTTTAAACCAAATTGGATTGTTATAATACCCATTTTGTTTTTTAAACAATTAATAATATCCAAAAATGCAATTTATTTACATTGAATTAAACTATTCAATGATGTTTTAAACGTTGTCTGGTTGACTAAATTACATTTATAACGTTTAAACAAAATTTATGTAAAAAATCAAAAACTTTAAATATAAATGAAACTTTAATATAATGGTATTTTTTAAAAAAATATAAATTTTCACATTTTAATAAAAATAACAATCAAATGTTAAATATGTACAACATTTTGTATGTTTACTTTATGTTTTTTCAATCTATTATAATAGAATGAATTTGTTTTATATCTTACGATAAACGTTTTATCATTTTGTTGATTATCATAGTTTTTTAAAATTACAATTCCAATTACCCACCTCATTTTTTTTATAACCAAAATGTTTATTTCTTTTGTTAATCCGTACGTTACAATACCACAATTTCTGCGATAATTATTTAAGAAACCAATGTTGATAATTATCGGTTTCATTTATTTATTCAATAAAACTAAAAATAAAAATAAAAATTTAAAAGTTTCAAATAATAAAAATGATTTTTGATAATTGTTCATTAGAAATACACAAAAAATTATGAATATTATTTGTAATATAATTTGTTTTAACTCATTTAAAAAATCTTTCGTTTTTTTATTTTGAAATAATTTATTGGTATTTTTTCAATATCAATAAATTGTTCAAAAATAATTATTTTAAATTGAATAAATTTCAATAAATTGTTTATTCTTCCGTTGTTACACAAATCATTTTTAAACGTTGATATCAAAATTTGTCTGGTCGAATTGTTTAATTATTAAAATAGACATAGTGTTTAATAATGATATTTATTGTGTTAGTTTTAGATATTTTTATTTTATAAAGTAGAATTTGAAATAACATTGGAATTGTTTTATTTTACAAAATAAGACTAACTTGATATTGATTAAGTTGTAAATTTTATAACAAATTTGAAAACAACAAAACTTAAATTCAATAAATTAACAACATAATTAAAATGTATGAACAAAAAAGACAGTATCAAAATACATACAAAATGTGCGTTTTTTTGATTTTGTAACTTGTATGTAATAAATTGATAAGTATGCAACATATAAAGTTTGAAATCACATAGTGAACAACAGGAAATAAATAAAAGAGTTAATTTCGAAGTAATCACAAATTTTGGTTTATGATATGTAAAGACAAATATTTATCATCTTATTAATTGGGTGTGAGTTGTAATAGTAAGTGTTATTATTAAATGTTTGTAACTTTTTTGTTTTGTCTTTGGAATATAGATTAAAATTTTCTCAATTAATTACAATTTGTGTAACAAATATTTTTTGAGATATTTGTACATGATAAGTTACATTGTGTTAATATGTTTAATGTACTAATCGGTATATTATTTTTAAATAATACAATGAAAAATGTGATATTTACAAATAATATTTATTTTCCAATTTGATTATTTATCGAACCTCAAATAATACTGTTATTTTAACTTATTACATTTAACAATAATTAAAATATGTCGTTTTGTGTTATTTTATTTTAATTGTTTTTATATTCATTTAAATGATGTTAATCAATTTGGTGTTAATTATTGCTTTCAGTTGTTTTTAATTTAAAACGGTGTATAAATATTGATATTATGTTTATTAATTTTGTCTTTTTATTTACAACAACAACGATTTTGTAAAGACCATAAGTTATATTTATGTTATATATCACTACTATACACCAAAACAGTTTTAAACAATAGAATAATTTTGTTGTATCAAAAAATCAAGTACATCAAATATGACTAAACAAAAGTCAGTTTAAGAGTAAACATTTTGTTTGAATTTAACACTTTGAAAACACAAAATACAAATAAATATGTACATGAACTTTGATACTATAGTCACTCAACCAAAGTTATTTGCTTTAAAATTAGCCAGTATCTTTTGGACTAAACTGAGTGGATAATTTATGTAAATTATTTTAAAAACCCATTGAATTCTTTTAGTTTTTCACATTTTTGAGTTTTTACCCAGTTTTCATTATTTTAAACATAAATACGACTATTTAATTAAAATAAGATAATTTTTCTGAACACATAACGTTTTATACTGACTATAGTCAAAAAATGAAATCATAACCGATGTAATAGCAAAATTTTAGAACGATATTCAAACAAAATAATTTTAATGTGTGAATAATCAACAGTATATTTAAAATCAATTCAAA